CTCCTCCTCCTCCTCCTCCTCCTCCTCCTCCTCCTCCTCCTCCCTCTCCTCCTCGTGTGGTGGTGGACACTCGGCCTATCCCCCCCCCTCTCTTTCTGGCCCCCTTCTGCTGCGCACCGCCTTTTCCGGTCGGCGGCGAGCCAGGGAGGTGAAGTGCGAAGGGGCAGGCCCGCTCGGAAGGTTCGGAAGCCCCCCGGGCTTTCGGAGAAGTTTTAGGTCGGCATGTCGCCCTACAGGGGGATTTGGAATGAAACATTAAACATACACGATACCCATAAAATGCAAAACATGCTCAAACAATGGTCTCTTGATTGTTTTTTGGGCTACTTTTGAATCTTCCTCCTGTAGAGGTACCGGCCCGACTTGAGAGAAGTTCCCCAGGCCTCCCCCCGAGGACGCCGAAAACCTTTTCAGAGGGCGGGAAGGTTTCCGAGAGGTCCGCCGCCTTCTGGGAAGGCCTCCTCCTTCTCGCGTCGCCCCCCTCGCTCGCTGCCGATTTGGGGCCCGGGGGGCGATGCCTGCGGCCGCCCCGCGAGCCTTCGGGCTGCTCGAAGCGGCGCTGCTGACGGGGCCCCTGGCGGCCGCGGGCGGCGGCGGGGTCGCGTCGCGGGGCGCGGTCGTGACGGTGATCGGAGGAGGCAGGAAAGTCCGATGTTGCTGCCCTTGCCTTGCCTCTCGGGCGGGTGGTGATGTTGAGTCGGGCGTGTCCCTCCACATGAGGAGCATTCAAAAGTAGTAAAAGATAGTCAGGGGACGTTGTTGTATTTTTGTTGGTGGATTTTTTGTGTGTATATCTTCCTATTCTAGATGTTTGGTCTCAACTCCGCCTGCAGGAGGACCTGCCCGACCTAGTGGTAATGGGGGGTGACAAGTGGGGGGGGGGAGAAAGCAGCTCCCCGAAGGGGCCCACTGGGGGCCCCTGTTGCGAGCCAGCATGGGCCCCGACGGGCCGCATTGGGGGCCCGTTCCTCCACCCCCTGACCCTGAGCGCCTGATACGAATCCCCTGGGGGTAAGAAAGATCGGGGTCCAGGAGGGATAATAAACGTTTTCCCGCCCGAGCCTCGTTTCCACCCGCCTCGTTTCCACCTCCCTGGGCTTCTCGGGAGGCCCTCGTCGCCACAGGGGGGATTCCCCTCGAGAAGCAGGTCGGAAGGCACCTTAGGAGAGGTCAGGGGAGTGGCGGCATCGGATATTGTCTTGACAATCTCCGCGCAGCGGTCGTTGCCCAGGGGGGGTGGAGTGGGTGGGTGGGTGTGGCTCCGGGCAACGGTGATGCACGTCGGGGCAGGATTGCGCTGCGATCGCCATAGTACGCGCGCGAACACCAGTATTTTGGTTGTATCTTCGGGGGATCTCGCCTGAGCCCAAAATTGGTGGCTTTCCTTATGCCCGACGCGGGCTCGATGCGGACTCGACGCGCATTCGACACGGATTCGACACCAGGATCCGACGAGGCCGCCATGGGATTCGGCACGAATGCGGTGCGGACGGAGCCGCGACCGGACAGACGAGGCCACCCGAGGGTGCAACATAAGAGTACACAGAGGGGGTGGGCCCAGGCTCTCCCCATCTCACACGGCGGTTGCCGTTACCTGGGGCCGAGGGGGACGGGGGTTTGGCCCGGGTGGCCTTGAGATTTTGGCGTCTCCATTTTTCCGAGCCGGGCGTCTTCGCCCAAGTTCGGGCCCCGGGGCTCTGACAGATCGATGTGGCTCGAAACGTGGCGCAGACAGAGGGGGCTGATGATTAGGGCTCCAGGGTCGTGCTTTGTGGCGACGCTCCACTTTTTTCGGGACGCCGGATCTCAGGGAACGACGGTGACGCGCCAGGAGCACCAATCTCTCGGTGCCTTGTTCAAGCAGTGGCGAAGCGTCCTGGCTCACCTGTAGGCCCACCGACGAATGTTCGAAGAACCGGTTTGTGGTCTGCACGGAATGTTTTTACATCATTTATGGCTGGGGCTGCCTGAAGTTTTAAAGCATCGTGTTTATGTTACGGCATGGTACCATTGTTTTTTTTTTTTTTATTGGAATATATTTGCGTTCCAAGAAAATTTCGCGGTAGGCCCATCGGAATGCCAGGACGGCTTTCCCAGGTGAGCAGCGCGCCGGCGGGAGGCGCCTTGGCTGCCGGCGCCCGCTTCCCGGGGCTTTTTGCAGATTTCTCCGGCCCGCCGCCCGGCGGACCGCTGGCTGCGTGGGCGCTCGCCGTGGGGAAAACGGGTCCCTTTTCCACCACGACTGCCACAGGTAGGAGAAGGAGGAGGAGGACGAGGAGGAGGAGGAGGAGGAGGAGGAGGAGGATCTCCTTCTCCTCCCTCCTCCCCCGTCCTGCATGTGGCAGTGGTGGTGGAAAAGTTGCTCATCAGTGGGGGAAGCGGGTCCTGAAGGAAACGGGTCCCGCTTGGGTCCTGCATCGAAGAAGAAGAACCGCTATAAACATAAATTGTTGGCGCTCCGCGCGGGTTCCTTGGATCCGCGCTGGCTTCCCCGGCGGCGCCTCCGGCGCCGCTCCTAACGCGCTCCGCGCGCCAGGGAAGGGGTCCAGCGCACTTCCAAGAAATCCGCGCAGAGCGCGAAGTTTTTTTTGCAGTTTCCCTGTCTATTGAAAGAAGCGTGTTCTGAGGGTTTTCGCCGCTGTCGGGCTCCCCTGGGACCTCGGCGTGGCAGTTTTTTCACCACGGGCGTTTTTGCTCCACTTCGGGCCCCGTGAACCTTACAGGAAGATGGGGTCCAGGGCTCCGGTCGCAATTGTTGGTTATTGTTTGTTGTTTGTGTAGTTATGGCATGTTTTGTGATAGCCTATTTCTTTAGTAGCGTAGCGTAGCTGTTGTTTCGGGCCGGGCGAAAGGGGGGGATTGGGAAAGGGGGGGTTACGAAATCTGCTGCGTGCAGCTGGTTTCGGCCCCACCGAGGGGCCCATTCCTCGATGCATAGCCGCCCCCGGCGCCGGGAGGCGCCGGGAAAATCTGCTACGTGAGCTGATTCTCAAACCCCCCCTTTGCTATCCCCCCCTTTCGCCCGACCCGATTGTTGGAGATGCTTCGCGATGCCGCTTCGTTGTTTTTGTGGTTGCGGCATCGGATCTCAGTCAGGGTCTCGGGGCCCTCCACGGGCCCAGGCACCGTCAGAGAACGACCCACCAAACCACCCCAACCCAACCCGAAGGCCTCAATTTATCCTCGATTTCCAGTGGGGGGGGGTCGGGGAACGTTGAGAAAACACATGGAATCCGTACCCCCCCCAACCCGAAATTCGGGTCAAATTCGGGTCTTCGGGTTGGGTTGGGGTGGTCTGGTAGGTAGTCAGTCAGAGAACGACTCGGGATGAAGATCTCGTCCTGGGGGCAGGCCCCGGGGTCCAAGACCGAGTCGGGCCTGCCCCTCTGCAGGAGGCAGATTCCAAAAGTAGTCAAACAAAATAGTCGGGGGGCACTTTGTTTAAGCATGTTTTGACTGTGTGTGAGTTTTTGTTGGGTGGCATCTTTCTCATTCCGTCCAGAATCCCCCTGTGGGGGGACATGCCCGACCGAAGTCCAGGACCCGTTTCCCTCAGGCTCCTGTTTGGCCCCTTGCCGAGGCGCCCGCTGACCCGGCCGGCTGCGCGGCCTATCCACCCGGACGTCCGACGCCGTGATCTGTTTTGGGCCATGCTTTTTCGCCCCGCTTTCTCCGCCGCTCTGCTCGGTCCAGGCCGAACGAAAAGGGGGGGACAGGGAAAGGGGGGGGGGTACGAAATCTGCTGCATGCAGCTAGTTTTGGCCCCGCCGCCGGGTCCATTCCTCGTTACATGGGCGCCTCCCGGCGCCGGGAGGCGCCGGGAAAATCAGCTATACTTGGATGGCCGCGGCGGCTGCTAGGTGGTTAGCGCGGATACTAAGGGGTTAGAGGATTTAGTATGTACGTACAAGTGAGTTGTAAGTAGGTTATAAGTGTTGTAAGTCGGATGTAAGTTGTATAACCAGCTACAACTGGTTAGTAGGAGATACTAACCACTTTTAGCTGGAGGCTAACCTTGCTAAGTCTCTAGTAGAGGTTAGCTCGCTAAGTCCCCATTCTAGCTACCACTTACTAACCATTTAGTAACCACTTAGCTGCCACTTAGTAACCACCCAGTAACCACTTACTAACCACTTAGTAACCACATAGTAAGTCCGCTAGCTAGCTTACTTACTAAGTGGTTAGCGGACTTACTAAGTGGTTAGCGGACTCTGAGAAGGAGAAGGAGGAGGAAGAGGAGGAGGAGGAGGAGGAGGAAGAGGAGGGGGAGAGAGGAGGAGGAGGAGAAGGAGGATGAGGAGGAGGAGAAGGAGGAGGAGATGTCGAGGAGGAGGAGGAGTAGGAGGAGGACGGGGAGGAGGATGAGGAGGAGGAGGAAAGGGGGAGGCGGCGGCGGAGGCGGCGACGGGCGCGCCTCAGCCCAAGACGGCCGCTCGACGCGGCGGCCCTGCAGGGCCGCCGCGTCGAGCGGCAGCCTGGCGCGGCTGAGCGCGGCGCAGGCGAAGTTCGCCTGCGCCGCGCTCTGCGCCGCCATCTCCAGCGGCATTGCCGCTGGCGCGGGCGGCGGGGGGGCCCCGCGCGCCGCTCGGCAGCCAGAGCGGCCCACCGCACGTAGCCGTCGTCCACAACCCAGAGGGTTGGGGGACGACGACGTGCGACGGGCCGATGGCTGCCGAGCCCGCCCCACCCCTCGGGGATGTCGAGGAGGATCCCCGACATCCCAGAGGGGTCCTCCGAGAGGAGACTGCCCCATGGCTCGGGGTCGCCATCGAAAAACATGTCTTGATATGTTTTTCGATGGCGATCCCGAGCCGCGAAGCAAAGGGAAAAGGGAGGGCGCGCTCCCCGCGCGGCCTGTAAGCCGCACGCGCGCGGGCGGCGTCTCCTCCTCCCCCCTCCTTCTATCCTCCTCCTCCTCCTCCTCCTCCCTCTCCTCCTCCTCCTCCTCCTCCTCCTCCTCCTCCTCCTCCTCCTCCTCCTCCTCCTCCTCCTCTCCGCCTCCTCCTCTCGCCCTCCTCCTCTCGTCATCATCATATACTCCTCCCTCGTCCTCCTCCTCCTCATCCTCCTCCTCGTCCTCCTAACCCTCCGCTCCTCCCTCGTCCTCCTCCTCCCCTCATCCCCTCCTCCTCCTCCTCCTCCTCCTCCTCCTCCTACTCCTCCCTAGCTCCTCTCTCTCTCCTCTCTCCTCTCCTCCTCCTCCTCCTCCTCTCCTCCTCCTCCTCCTCCTTCCTCCTCCTCTCCTACGTCCTCCTCCTCCTCCTCCCCCCCCCCCCCTCCTCCTCCCCATCCTCCTCTCGCTCTGAGCTATCTCGTCGTTTTCCTCCTCCTCATGCTCCTCCTCCTCCTCCTCCTCCTCCTCCTCCTCCTCCTCCTCCTCCCCCTCCCCCTCCTCCACCCTCCCCCCCTCGTCAGAGGAGAGGGGGAGAGGAGAAGGGGGGGGGGGAGCAAGATGAGGAGGAGGAGCAGCCGTAGGAGCAGGAGGAGGAGGGGGAGAAGGGGGAGGATGCGGGGAAGGAGGAGTTTGAACGACCGCACCACTGATCAACGACATTAGCGCTGCAGCGCAAGAGGACGAGGAGGAACGAGGCGGAGGAGAGGAATCGGCGACCATGCACTGTTCAGGTGCTGCAGCACCGAAGTGTCAATGAAAAAGGTGCGCTACAGCGCAATGCAGAAGGAATCCACGTTTTCAAGGCGGAGAAGAGGAGTCGTCGACCATGCAACGTTCAGGTGCTGCAGCACCGAAGCATTTAGCAATGTAAAAAAAGTGCGCTGCAGCGCCAGTAAGGAATCCACGTTTTAGGCTAAAGCGCACCACCGCGGCTGCGACCATATCGGGCGCGCCACTCGGATGCCGCCGCCCTCGCGCGGCGCCCACGCGAGCGAGCACACGATGCTCGCCGTGTGCGCCCAAAAGGCGTCGGCATCGCCGCCAAGCACGTGCGCGGAGGCGCGCGGGTGCAGCTTCTCCTTGAAGAAGTAGGGCAGGACCAAGTTCAAGCCATAGTAGTGGCCGTTCTTGGTGAAGGAGAGGTGTTTCAACACCTCGGCCGCAATGTGTTCCCCTCCTCCGTCCTCCAACAGCACGACGTCGCCGTATTTGACGTCGTGGCAGCGGCACCGCGCTGCAGCGGACGTAACAAAGTCCGCAGGCCCGAACTGCTGCAGCAGTTCGCGCGAGATGGCCTTGGACGGCCTGGTGGCGTTAACCAGGCAGTTAACCTTAAAGGTGTCGCCATCCATGAGCTGCCACAGGTGCCGCTCGGTGACGCTCTTCAGGACATTGGCGCCCCAGCCGCTGGAGGCTGCAGCCCCCACCTGAAGAGCGTTCGCAAAGCGCTTGCTGGTCTTGTGCTTGCGCCCCAAAACCCAGCGCGACGGCAGCGCCACATGGCCCCAACGCCTCACGTAGTTGGCGAAGTGGTGCAGGTAATGGAACTTCTGCGCCATCGTTTCCTTGCCAAAGACGCTGCTGTATGACAGCAAAAACATGTTAACCGCAGCCTGCAGCTTATCCGCGTCTGCCTGACGCCTGGATACTCGTAGGATTTCTTCCACAACGATCGTGTGCGCCTCGAACACTGCGCAAGCAGATCGGACTGCAGGCGCTGCAGCGTCGCTAGCCACCTCCCTGAAGAAACGCGTCAATCCGCCCGCGCGAACGCATGTCCGAACAAGAGGGGTGCAGTACATATCCTACAGAGATTCACGCGCGCTGCAGCGCATGTATTATTGGTCTGGCGGGGGCGCGAAGCATGCAATGATACTTGCATGGTTGTGAGCCCCTCGCTGGCGGTGCACTTGAAATGCTTGCTGTCAACGTGGGACCTCACGCGCTTCTCGCCGAAGATCGCGCACGTGTCGGGGGAGATGGAGTGGCACCCTGGAAACGACCAGTCCTGGAAATATGCGCCTGCGCGCGCCCAGTAACCCTTCAACCTTCGAAACATTTGGAACACCAGAATGTTATATGTACCGTTGACGAAAATACAATGCATCCAATCAAACATGACTGTCTCGAGCGGCTTGAGTTTCCGAACCCGCCCAGGCAAATGGGGGCCCCAGTTCCAGCCAAGTCGGCGCTCCAACTCCTGGAACCCGCCCTTGTTCATGATGTTGACCCCTTCGATCAATCCGTTGCAGATGGCATCGAGCAACGGCGCCGTCATCGGCTGCAGCCGCGACGCATCTGGTTCCGAGTGGTGAACAGCGACACCCGTCGCATCAGAAGCAACTATATCCCGAACTTCGCCCTTCAAGAACACGTTGCGGCACATAAAACATGGTTTGATTCCTGACAAACCTTTCATTCCGATCAAGCGGTGTATTGCATCCTCGTCCGCGATCCGACAGAGCCGCTGCAGCGACGCAAGAAGGCGTAATGTATATATATATACATGTGCACATGTATGCTAACTAATCTTGGGTGCTATGCGGCGACCGCTGCAGCGGCTGAATGTAAATTCCGAGGTCCATCTGGATGAGCTCCGTCGCGCCGTCGGGGCGCAGCCGCAAGCTGATGCCTGCGCTGAAGTTGTGCCCCTGATCAGGCCAGAACTGCGCGAGGATTGCGTCCGGTAGCATCGTCAGTCCGCGCGGCTGGATGTCGTTCGCGGTCTTGGCCCGCATCGTCGCGAGCTGGAACCACGCATCCTGCGAACAAATCGCAGCACAACTGGCGCTGCAGCGCCTCTCTCTCTCTCTCTGTCTCTCTCTCTCTCTCTCTCTCTCTCTCTCTCTCTCTCTCTCTCTCTATCTCTCTCTCTACCCCCCTCCCCCCCCCCCGCATATATCGTTGCTGCAGCAACGCTATCGCGAAAGTCCTCCGACGAAAGCGCCTGCGGGCCGAATTCCGCGATCGCCCAGTAGATGCCCCAGGACTTGCGGTTCTGCACGTGCGCCAGCGCGTTGCCAGCGCCTATTTCATCGCCGTAAATAATGATGTGCCACGGGCGTGGCAGCTCCAGCGCCCGCTGCCACAGAGGCTGCATCGCGGGGAGGGCGCTGCAATACCACAGCATTGCTGCTGGACTGCAGATCTCCACCGTGTGCTGCCCGACTACCATGTTCTGGTGGAGCTTGCCGTACGGCGTGTTCTCACCGACCATGAGCTCCCGAGCGTCTCTGATATCCTGGCGTCGGGATCCCAATTCGGGGGCTCCGTCTCGCTTAACGGACGCCAGGAATTGCGCCATCGCATTACAATGCATGAATGGCAGTTCCGCGCGAAGGCGGGACAGCCGCCGCAGCTTCGCTGGGCGGTCGTCCTCTGCCGCCATCGCGCGCGTTCCCGAGGCAAGCTTGCCTCCGTCGCTGCGCGCGCGCGGAGGGCCCCCTCCGCTAGGGGCCACGGCGACTACGGATGGAAATGAGGCTGCACCGCGTGGAGAGCAACCAAATGCGCGCTGCAGCGCTAACTGCCAAGCAACAGTCTGGGAGCACATGGCGCTACAGCGCCGCTAACGTCCAATGATGACAATCTGACGCGCTGCAGCGCGAACGTCCTCCTCCTCCTCCATCCTGCTCGCCATCCCCCTCGTCCTCCTCCTCTTCCTCTCCCTCCTATACCTCCTCCTCCTCCTCTTCCTCCTCCTCCTCCTCCTCCGCCTCATGCGCCCCCTCATCCTCCCCATCCTCCTCCTCAACCTACCCATCCTCCTCATCATCCGTCTCCCGTCCCTTCATCCTCCCCGTCACCATCACCTTCATCGTCAACAGCATCAATATCACTCGCCCTCATCATCCGCCACGTCGCTATCCAACGAGAAACTGCAAGCGAAACTGCGCTGCAGCGCAACACATTAACACATCATGATCCGCGCGCAAACTTTCAACCGTGGTCCACGGAGAAGCGCTGCAGCGCAACTCAAACAACACGCTCAACCACGTTCCCCCCAGCCTTTACCAATCAATCGAACCAGCATGCTTCAGCAGGCGGTCGCCGAGGCCGACCTCACTCAGGTCACCTTCATCTTCTTGGCGTTCCGCAGCGAGGTCAACGCCTCGTTGAGTTTCTGGATGGCCACGACCGAAGCGGCGATGTCCATCTGACCCCGACCCTGCTACTCATACTCCTCATCCTCCCACATCATCGCCTTCCACCTCCTCCTGATCATCCCCCCTGTCGTCCTTCTCCCCCGCTGCAGTGGGGGAGTAGCCTGCCACACTCATGAACCCCACCGTCCTCCTTCTCATCCGCCTCCTCATCCACCTGCAGCTCCGCGGTGCGGATCTGCACCTGCTTCTCCGCTTTCCTGGCGTTCTTCCGCGCCTCCTTTACCTCTGCTGTAGCAGTCGCCGTCGCTCTCGCGCGGGCCTCGCGCAACTCGTCGCGACGGTCGGCGCGCGCTTGCGCTTCGAACGGCTTGTCGCAGCGGCGCGCCGCCATTGCGATCCCAGTGAGGAGGCGGAGGAGGTCCGTTGCCAGCACCCGCTGCAGCGAACGATGGCGACTGCGACGCGCGAGCCAAGTGAGGAGGAGGAGGAGGAGGGGGAGGAGGGCATGCCATCGGCAACGCGCAACATGAGCGAATCACAGCGCTGCAGCGCGTGACTTGGCAACAACCATGCGGGAGACAACGCTCGACATCGCGAATGATGGCGCCGCGGCGCGTATCGACGAGGAACGACTGGCACTCAAGACGAGCACGTCACGCAATACATGGACACCGCGGCTGCAACTGCACACTCACAAACGCGCCAACGCTACAACGGCACCACAAGTCTGACAGGCGCTGCAGCGCTGCATCGGAACACAACAGCGCGCAATATCGACGCCACCATCCAGGAAAGCGAGCGCTGCAGCGCTGCATCGTGATCATGATGGCGATGCAAACGTTGACCACAAAGGCGCCAGCGCTGCAGCGCCCGCATCCACGAGAACCCGTCAACATATTTGACTTTCATCCTCCTCGTCGTCCGTGCGAGCCGCGCGACCGCCAGGCAAGACCATCGCCACTACCGTTCATATCACCGGCCAGCGTTCCATCCAACCTCGCACTGATCCTCACCATCCTCCTCATTCCTTCTCCTCCGCATGCTCATCCTCCTCATCATCCTACCCATCCTCCTCCTCGCCCTCATAATCCTCATCCTCACCTCCATATGCCGACAGTGCCCGTTGCGCGCTCACGGCTTGCCGCGACGGCCAGTGAAGTTCGGGTCGCGGCACGTGCCGCAGCCATTCGGCAGGTAGCGGCATTTGCTGCACCCGAGTGCCATTTGGCCCCGTTTGGCTGCCGCCTTGCCCTGGGGCTTGGCCTTGGCCTTGGCTTTGGCCTTCCCTTTGCCCTTGGCCTTCGGTTTGGCCGTGCCCTTGGCCGCCGTCTTGCCCTTGCCAGCGCCTGTCTTGCTCTTGCCCTTGATCGCGCTCTTGCCCTTGCCCTTCTTGCCCTTGCCCTTGCCCTTGCCCTTGCGAGGCAGCTCGCCCTTCGCGCTGCCCGCAGCCAAGGTCTCGATCGCCTGCAGCACAGCATCCTCGTCTCCGTCTGCTGCTGCAGCAGCATCTTCGATTGGCGGCGTTGGCGCTGCTGCAGCAGCATCTGGCGCCGCCGCTGGCAATGCTGGCCCAGCTGGCGAATCACCAATCGCGGGGGGACTCGCGGGGGGGCTCGCCGTGGGCGCCGCAGGGCGGCGCGGGAAGAGCTGCAGCTGCAGCTCGTTGGGCGGCGATGGCGGCGGCGCAAACGCTGCCAGCATTTGCTGCATCACGGCCATCGCGTCCATGGGTTGCATTGGCGCTGCAGGCGGCACGGAGGGTGACCCCGATGGCGTCCATGGCACAATGGCAGTGCTCGGCTGATGCGGTGGGGCGGCAGCCCGCAAGCCCTTGTTGGTCAGCCTGAGAGGCACGCGGGCCTTGATGGCGTTGAGACCCGCAGGCCGCTTCAGCGGCGCACGCGCAGCATGAAACCTATCATGCTCTATGCGAGGTGGACCTAAAGGACCGAGCTCACCGAAGCACCCAAGACATCCAGAACAATCAGCGCTGCAGCGCATGACGGGGCGGCAGCAGCCTCGTAGATGCGATACCACGTTGGCGAGGTCGCGCGTCACATCGATCGGCGGGTCCGCATCGGCGTACGCCGCGTCGAAGATGTACTGAGGGAGCTGCCGGGGATCTGCTGGGAAATTCCAAGTCACTGTCGCCGCTTGCCCCGTCGCGCCCCTGCGGCTCGCCAAGAACTGACCCTGTAAAGGGCGACTCGTCGGGGAACCCTAACGCTGACGCGCCGCATCGCATTGGCTGCAGTCAGTGCGATGTGATGCGTCTGCGTTAGGCGTCCCCGCCGAATCCCAAACCTTCATCTCCGCCACGATCCCGTAGAGCTGCCCAGGGTTTGCGTCTGGAAGATGGGCGCATGCCATCAACGCCGCCAACTCTTTCAGCGTGTTCTCGCTCGGAACCGTCAAGCCGATGGCACCGCAACGTTTGATCAACGCGCGCACCTTCGCGACGATGCTCTGGCTGGGGTCGCGAAATAAACCCCACTCCTGCATGGTAAAGTCCACCAGCCTACGCATCGACGCAGGCATGCTGCAGCATGCTAACATACGTACATTTGAAAAATGAACATGGTAACATACATAAAGTACAGAACAAACAATTAAACCATACATGTGAATAACACTTCGGCGGTCCGATGTGCAAAGCACGATGGATAGCACCGCCCTGACGCGAGCGTCTGCACGCGCAGCTGGAGCGTGGGCGTCGCCGTGCCCACGCGCGCGGCCAGCGCGGCGCTGAGGCGCGCCTTGTGGCTGTCCGCGAAGCCCGACGCGGTGATTCGATTCTGCAGGGTAGCTGCTTGGGCAGCCCCGATCGTCCCCAAGTTGTGAAGCTGCAGCTGCACGCTCATGGACAAGGCGGACTGGCTCTGCGCCATCGCGTCGGCGGCGATGACGCCGATCTGCGATGCGAAGAAGGCGTCGCAGCTGCCCAGGTTATCCAGGATGTGGTTGATGGGTGTGGCCGCAGCCGCGGCAGACATGATGCCCTCCGCGAGGGCGAGGGGGTGCGCGGACGCTCCGAGGGGAAGCGCGAGGGAGGGCCCCCCACACTGCGAGAGCTGAAGCCACCAGGAAGCGCAGGTGATAATAGAGGCCCACAACAGTACAGAATGCTCTGCAGCGCAACAACGAATCGCGTTCCAAATTTAAAGGAAACACCCGTGAGCGCCTGCAGCGCTCAGCAGCATCCATCGTCGCAAAGTAACATGAGCGCTGCAGCGCTAAATGCATGGCGCC